GCGGGGGGGTTGAGGGGTGAGGATGGGGATGAAGTATATACAATATGTAAGGTAGAAAGTTAGCAGAGGGATGAAGATGAGGGTGGCAGGAGTAAATCAGGAGACCAGAGTGGAAGGGATGAGGGATGAAGGATGAGGATGACAACTGTAAGAGCTTGGGGAGGATGGAGGTGTAGTAGTGGATGGTGGGGTGACCTCTGACTAGAAGAGCAGGATAGAGATGAGAGAGTAGAGATGGCGCACACAGCAGTAGCAGCGCAGTACAACAGATGGCTGTATAGTAGAGGAGGTAGCCTTGATTTTAGCTGGGTACAGGAATGTGGCAGACAAGGAGCAGGCAGCAGCAAGGTTGCAATAGCCCAGGAGGTCAAGGGGCAGACAGCCCAGTGAATAGACTCTAAAAGGAGCAGTCCATGCGGCGGTCTTTTCCTCAGCACTGGCTCAGGCGGTCCCTCAGCCGGACAGTCCCGATGTCTATTTCCCCTCACACGTCCAGGAGCCCGAGTCCCATTCACTCCTCTTTCTTTCTCCTCCTCTGATCGCGGCTCCCAGCAACCGCCTTACGTGTCACCTTTCCGCTCCGCCCCTTCCCGAGTTCTGCCTACGTCATCGCCCCCTTTCCCCGCCCACCCCGGGTCCATGCCGAGGCCTGGAACGCAAAGCCGGGCAGCGTGGGTCAATCTGAGCTCTGGATTGTGATTGGCTGAGGGGGGCGGAGAGGGCGATCTCTTCAATTTGCTCAGTAAAGATCTTAAAATGAGAGATAAAAGCTGATGCAAATCTGTTCCAGATTTTGTCGGCTCCAATTTTGATAAATTCCCCCCAATGTGTTTTACTAAATGGCCTGAAATAATAAACTCCTGGGAAAGGGGGGAGGGTAATTAAAACTGGGGCAGGCAAAATCAGCAGCAGTTGCCTGTAATAACCAATCAGCTCCTCTATTAAGGTTTGAAAATGAAAGATTGAAGCTGGTCGCCATGGGCAACTGCTCCAGATTTTGGTCAAGTTTTCATAAATTCCCCCTACTATGTATAATCATATCTGTCTGTCTATGGATGCAATGGTCTGCGCTTGCCCAGGTTTGCACATGTCCGTCATTTTCAGAAGGGAGAGGTATGCAGCGGCAGCCCGCTTATCTCTGTCAGGCATGCTTTACTGAAGCCAGAGACAAGCCAGGCATTGAGCATTGTCCAGCAAAGTAAACCTAAAGCTGACCATACATGAGCAGATGATGATCGAAAGAAATCTAACAGATTTCTCCATCCATCCCCACGCTGGGCTACTGTATTCTGACGGCCGGAACCCACCGCCATCACGATACCCCAACAGCAGCTGCAGCTGATTGGCTGCATTCACCATCTGACCAACAATTTTCAGCCCGGCTCAGTGGATAGAAGCCGATTGCATAACTGTCCAGCTGTCAATGCCAGGTAATGTTAGAATTTCGATGGTTCCTGTGAATTCTTAGGCTGGCCATACACCAGTTAATTTTCAGAACGTTCATTTAATTATACAAATAGTTAATGGGGTCTTACTGACAATCATTTTTGTACCGCATCGCCGAAAAAAAAATAATCAAAGGAGCGGCATGGAACATTTTTCTCAAACAAGTGGAATTCTACCAGTGAATGTGGTTCTTGTTCGGGAAACTTCACTTGCAAAATCGAATGTTGTTACCCACCAATTTAATGGCTCCCAAAACAGCATGCCAATTGTCAACGCTGGCAGTGTGCTTATCTCAGCTCTCAACCAAACTTTCATGCCCTTATAGGACTGGTGTTCTAGCTCACCAATGTGCAGCACCATGGCAACTGCAATCCAAATAGTGTCCAAGATGGCACCTTTCTTGGCTGTAAGGGATAGAGTATTGTCGTTCCAAAATCGAATGTAAAAGAGGAACGTTACCCACCAATTTAATGGCTCCCAAAACAGCATGCCAACTGCCAAGGTTGTCAGTGTGCTTATATCAGCTCTCAACCAAACTTTCAATGTGCAGCATCATGGCAACTGCAGTCCAATTAGGGACCAAGATGGCACCTTTCTTGGCTGTAAGGGATGGAGTGTTGTAGTTCCAAAATCGAATGTAAAAGAGGAACGTTACCCACCAATTTAATGGCTCCCAAAATAGCATGTCAACTGTCATGTTTGGCAGTGTGCTTATATCAGCTCTCAACCAAACTTTCAATGTGCAGCACCATGGCAACTGCAATCCAAATAGAGGCCAAGATGGCACCTTTCGTGGCTATAAGGTATTGCGGGTTGTACTTCCCACATCGAAAGTTAAAGAGGAACGTTACCCACCAAATTAATGGCTTCCAAAACAGCATGCCAACTGTCAAGGTTGGCAGTGTGCTTATTTCAGCTCTCAACCAAACTTTCATGCCTTTAAATGGCTGGTGTTATAGCTCACCACATATGCAACACCGTGGCAACTGCAGTCCAAATAGAGGCTAAGATGGCACCTTGCTTGGCTGTAAGAGATGGTGGGTTGTAGTTATGCTTTAAAATCAAATGAAAGTTCTAGTGATATTCATCAAAGTCTCTGATGGTTTATCAAATATTGCTACCAGATTTTTTTGTATGAATCTTAGTAGAAAAATCTATGTGCACATCCAGTATAAATACGTAATATTGTCTTTTTAGGGAGATTAGAGATCCCCCCGAGTCAATCAAGAGCTAGTATGTCTGAAGGTCCCACACACCTCGCGTTAATCGTACGGTAATCGCGGGATATCCCGCGATCGTACGATTATCGTAAGGTGTGTGGAAGCTGTGCGACCTCTACTACTGTAAGGTCGCACGACTTTTAACTTACGAACATGTTTGAAAACCCGCCGGGGATCGTACGATGTTCGGAGGGTGTGTAGCATGTTCGTACGATAAAAGCCAGACGGGCCGGTGTGCGCAAGCGCACACTGCCCCGTTCGGCATTGCGGTCATCGGAAGCCCGCCCCTCAGGGGGGCGCGGCTTGCGATCATCGCAAGTACGATCTGCCTATGCAAGATAGGCAGATCGTACGTTTTTTTAAGTACCTTACAACCATCGCAAGACAAAAGTCTTGCGATGGTTGTAAGGTGTGTGCCCAGCCTGAGCCCCGCTGACCTCCAAGACATCCCAGTGAATCCAATTAGCACTTGCATTGTTTACTCTGGGCAGTCCCCAGTGCGGGGAGGGGGCCCTTTGTTTACTATCTGCACAGACAAAAAGTCTGATCTAAATGGGTGACATTGATGATAATAACATACGCCCGCTGTTCACGTGCTAATCACTGTCTATCATGCATAATCCCATTCATTAGGTGCTCTTCGCTGGCTAACTATGGTGCTACGGGGGGGGGGAGGGGGACGGGACCTAGTAGAGATCAAATTTACCTAATCTCCCCCGTCTTTTATCTGCTACGCAAACAGAGCAAACTACATTTAGGAGACAGACTTTGCATCTGAAGAGTAGATCACCAGCCTTGGGGTTCTGAATGGAAAACAATACAGCTTTACAGATAGTATTTGAAGTGCAGGTGAAGGCAAAAACTTTTTTTTTCTAGTGTTGGAGAAGATTTAGAACAGGGGTAGGCAACCTCGGCCCTACAGCTGTGGTGAACTACAAAGTCCATCATGCATCTGCCTCTGGGAGTCATGCCTGTGGCTGTCAGAGGCTTGTAATGCCTTGTGGGACTTGTAGTTCCACAACAGCTAGAGTGCTGAGGTTGCCTACAGCTGAATTAGAAATTCTGTTGCCAGGGCCGTCCCTTCCTTTTTTGCCCCCAGGAGAAGGGGGCCGAGCTGTCACCCGGACGGGAGGGCACAGGCGGCCTAGCTGTTAAGGGGGGTAGTCGGTTCTGTTTGTTACCTGTGATGTCGCCAACCCCTCCCCCAATAAGAGTCTACTGCCTAGTCTGTTGAGTTCTTGCTGCTATCCGGGGCTTTGTTAGAGAGATTTGCACTCACTTCCTGTCCTGCTGACCTGACAGGAAATTAAAGGAAATCAGCAAAAGTGGCACAGACAGATATACAAATCTGACAGGGCTCTAGCCATCCCCTTCTCTACGAAAATGTTTAATTCTATCTGTGTTGCTGTTGGAGACGAGAGTTCTGCTCACTTCCTGCCTGCTAAAATGTTGTCAGAAGGATAGGAAGTGGGGGCAAAGCTCTCCAACGCAGCCCTGGGCTGGAGTATAAACCTGACAGGGGTTCTGATTCTTCCCCATGATATCCAAAACCAGAAAAATATTGTGCATTTATTATTGGAGGCCATTTTGGATTATTTTGGAGCCAGTAAAGTATTGCAACTGCGATCAGTAGAACGTGGGTGCAATACTCTGGCTCCTGCAGACTCTTCCTCCCATCCATACTGTACCTCAGAACGGACATTCAGTAACATGGACGGACGAACAATGAAAGGACTACAAATGTGGTTACCTCACTGCCCTTGTATTACATTTAGAACTACAAATCCCTCTACCGCCGGTGACTGATAGGACTTGTAGTTTCTCCATTCACAGATCCTGCCATTGGATGATGTGGCTGTGGAGTGGAAGCACATCAGGCATGCCAGATTTTTAAAAATGTCAGATGCCTGCAAGGAGAAGAATCCTTCAATTCAGGTAAGTGGTGGGGAAGTGATGTTTGGGTTGGGGTTGCCGATGGTGCCATGCTTCATCCTATATTCTTAAAG